AGATCTATACAAGATGTTTAATAAGGAAACAAATAACTACAGAATAATGAAATATAACTCTTCTTAAGTCAACTGCACATCTATGGAAGGCGTTCAATGTGATTAAGGCGGGCTTCCCACGGGTCTCTCCTTGTAGCCGTGGGATTAACATTAGAATGAGAGGATGAGATTTAACACTCTCCTTCAAGCTGGGGAGTATAGATCTGTCATTCACAGCTTGACAATCATTCTGAGAAAGGCAGAGCTGTCCAGTCCTTTGGTGAGGATATCTGCGAGTTGATCTTTCGATGGTACATGATTAATACATATTAGACCATTGTCTAATTTCTCTTTAATAGAATGACGATCCACTTCTATGTGCTTGGTCCTGTAATGCTGGACTGGATTTATGCTCATTGTTGATTTGTTGTCACAGTGTAGCTTCATGGGATTGTCCCACTTGATCCTTAGGTTTTCTAGAATCATCTTGATCCATAGTAACTCACATATTCCCAAGGCCATAACTCTATATCCTACTTCTGCGTTGGACCTTGCCTCCACATTATGTTTCTTGCTTCTCCTTGTAACTAGATTCCCTCCATGAAATGTGCAGTATTCAGATGTAGATCTTCTATCTACTGGTGATCCTGCATAACCAGGATCAGTGTATGCTTCTAGGGTTATTCCGCGATCTCTTCTAAAGAGAATCCCTTTCCCTGAGTTTCCTTTAAGTTAGTGCAGTATCCAGTCTACCGCTTGCATATACGTCTGCTTTGGATTCTGCATAAACTAACTGACCATGCTTATAACAAATGCTATATATGGTATGGTATGGAAAAGGTAGATCAATTTCCCTACAAGTCTCTGGTAAACCCCTTTATAAGTTTATATACATCTAGATCTTCTTTAGCTTCCCTCAATTTAAGATTTGGTTCTACTAGTGTTGATGCTGTTTGACGAGCTAATTTACCTGTTTCCTTCAGAAGATGATTAATGTAAATTTGTTGTGAAATGAAGATTCCTTTGTTGGAGTGGGCTACTTCAATTTTGGGAATGAAGTTCTTTGATGTCAAATTCCTTGGTAAATTTTTTTTCTTAAACTAACTTTCTCCTCTTCGTTATATCCTGTCAAGATAATATCATCCACATACACTAATAATATTGTGACTCCCTCTGAGTCTGAGCGTTTAAATAATAATGTATGGTCCCCTTGACTCTGTCGTTACTCATTTAGAAGCTTAAATTTTGAGAATCTTCCAAACCAGGCCCTTAGTCGTTGTTTTAGCCCATATAGGGCTTCTTTCAAACTACACTCCTTGTCACCCTTAGATTTTTTGCTTAAATTCTGGTGGTATCTCCATAAATATCTCTTCCTCCAAGTACCCATGTAGGAATGCATTTTTTACATGGTAAATGCCATATGTTTGGGTATGCCCTTTCGCCACTAGTTTTGCTTTGTACCTTTCTCGTGTACCATCAACTTTGTACTTTATAAAGAACACCCATTTGCAGCCGACTAGTTTTTTTTCTTTTTGAAGGTTGATGATTTCCCACGTGTTGTCTTTTCTAGAGCATGCATTTCATCTTTCATGGCATTTTTTCAATTTTTCATCATATAAGGCCTCAGAAACATTATCAGGAATATGAATATTTTCTAGTGTAACCAGAAAATTTTTGTGCGAGGATGAAAAATTATGGAAGGACATAGAGTTGGTTATGGGGTACAATGGAGGTGACAAATTTGTATTTACCTTGATTTTAGGAGATGGTTCAGATTCTTGGATCTGCTTTGGAGCATAGTTTGGACTTTTACGACTGGAATATACATTCCCAAAACTACTGACAGCTTTGTCTTCAACTTCTCTGTTATTAGTTTCAAGAGGATTGATTTGAGGTGGTGGAGGAAGATTAAGAGGGACAAGCTCACTTTCCTAATCTTCCTCAATTTTAGCCTCCCCCTGAAGATGAGGTTTGTTAAAATAGGAATTTTGTTCATCGAAGGTAACATCAACCGAGACAATGAATTTTTTTGTGGGTAGATGATAACACTTGTAACCTTTTTGGGTGGCTAAATATCCAACAAAGATACATTTGAGTACTCTTGGATCTAATTTTCCTCTATTGTGACTGTGGATGTGGACATAGGCTATGCACTCAAAGTTTATGGGTGTAAGATTATTATGGGTTCAAAACTTGTGATAAAAGGAGGATAGAATATCCATTGGGGTTTTTAGTCTCAGGGCTGTGGAAGGTAGTTAGTTTATGAGGTAAGTGACAGTTAGAAGGGCTTCCCCCCAATAGGAATTGAGTATATTGGGATGGAATAGGAAAGCTCGCGTGGAGGCTAGAATGTGACCATTTTTCCTTTCCGCAATCCCATTTTGTTGTGGGGTGTGAATGTAGGAGGATTCATGGATGATACCTTCACTTTGAAAGTAGGAGGATAGGGTTTGATTGAAATAGTATTTAGCATTGTCGGAGCGAAATTTCCTTATTTTTATCTCGAATTGATTCTGGATCATGGTGTGAAAATGGGAAAAATGTTGCTAACTTTGGATTTATTGACTCGAGTGCAATCATCAATGAACGATACAAACCAACGTGACCTAGAGATATTGAGGATTTGTGAGGGTCCCCATATATCACTATGGATAAGATAGAAAAGAGTATCACATCTCTTATTTTTTATTTGGAAAATAAGCTCTTATATGTTTGGCTAACTCACAAGTTTCACAATGAAAATGTTCATTTTCTAATTTCTGAAAAAGATTTAGATATATATGTTTTAGGATATCAAAAGATGGATGTCCTAATCGAGGTTGCAATCATGATTTAACACTAGTAAAAGATTGATTGAGATTTAATTTATTTTAAATGCAAACAAACACAATTTACTAACTTTGGATGATGAACTATTAAAGATTCTAATAAGAAATCTCTTGTTACTTGATTTTAAATATTCTAGAATTGAGTTATAATTCGTCATATGATTTGAGGCACAAAAATCTACAATATGTATTTTTTAGCTGACCTTGCTTGAGTCAACATAATTGTTCTTATCTCGATTTAGGTAGGGTTGAGTGATTTTTTTGTTTGAATAAACATTTTATTAAATAGGTCTAGTTGTTGTTTGTTGAATAGGGTAGATCTTGAAGGAATATAGTTCTCGCTGGTAGTAACGAGTTTTACACGGCTTTCTTCGGAGATTTTTTTTCGGTTTTCAATCATGAGGTTTATCATGGATGTTCTAGCTTGAGTCCTTAGTGTGACCTAATTTGTGATGGTGATCATAAAATGGTCGTTACTTTTGTGGTGTATTTTTTAAGTTTAGTGGCTATTGGGAGTGTGGACAACTTGGATAAATTCTTCATTGGTGGATAAGAAAAGTTATGATCCCATTATTATTTTTCAGTGTCTTTCAATCCATCGACTTTATTCCCAAAATCCTTCTAAACTATTCATCACGATCCTTGTTGAATCCCATCATAAATCTACAATCTTATTTCCTCTCAATAATTTGTCTATTTAGTTCATTTATTGAACACTTCCAATAATGCGCCTCAAATCGATCAGTTTTATCCCAAGAACTCTTTAAGAGGATTATAGTCTTGAGTAATTGAGAGCTCCCGTTGTTTAGGAATATATCAAAATTAATTAGTTTCAATCTTTTTTTATAACTTGAGTGAGTTATTGTAGCTACATCCCAATATCTTTTGATTGCAAGACTAAAAATGCCGAATGATCTTTCTTCGTGGTTGTTGTTGGTCTGGTGGGGTGCTTATTTTTCTTTCTTTTGGCAGATATGCATTAATATTTATTGGGACGATTGAAGATTGTTGTGGGCATTCAATTTTAGCTAATGATGAGAAGTTGGTTGCTCTCAAATTCACCATTAGAACTTGAAATGGCTGTCTTTGAATCGAAGGTGATTCATACGAGGAGTTATGCCTTTTTGTGGCTATCTGTATTTGGTTATATGGATAAAAAAGGCTTTGTAGTATTCTTAATTAGGGGTATCATAGTTAAGGTCACCAATGTATATTGGTGATCCACAACTGTAGAAAATTGTCAACCCAGCCAAGCCACAGTAGATCGATAAATTACACTGCAAAGGTTGATCAATGGATCTATGATTGTAGAAATTTGGTGGACGACGAAAGATGTTTGGATATTGACGAAGGCAGGAGATCAATGGATCAAGAATGCTTAATCAACAAATCTACAATTGTTGGAGCCAGTTGTGAGTCTAGGGTGATGGAACTTGTTGATCGAGGGAGTGATGAGTGAGTTGCAATGACGAGTCAGATCTTGGCGCGATGTCGAAGTGGAAGGTAAGATGGATGTTGCATGGTTGTCGTGTCTAGTAGGGAGAGTAAAGGAAGGAGTCTTGATATAAAGGTGATGAATGTTTTTCATGAAAAGCCTAATGTATTCATCCTTCTTCCCTTTTGAGCAATCAAGGTGGAAATAATTCAAATTTTTGATGTTATGATTTTCCTTTTACATCAGTCAAATCCTTAATTGTGTTCTTTATTATTTTCAGATTATGTAAGATAAATTCTTAATTACATTTTTTAACAGTAAACAACAAAATATAAATAAACGAAGTACATAATATCAGAGCTAAAAGGGTGGATTCTGGAAAAGGTCATAAAATGGAAAGGGCGTTCTATGGGAGGGAGAGGAAATTGAGATTGAGATGCTGATGGAAATAGCTTGACATAAAACAGCTGTGTGGTAATTGAGTTACTCTTGGCTATTTTTAGTCTTGTACATGCTCTGCTGGAATATTGTTTATTGTTTAATTAGAATTAGGTAGTGATTAAACATCATTCATTCTGTGCTCTATCCTATCTTGCAAGCTTCTATCATTTAAAAATTTAAGAGTTGTGTCCTCATAAGTCAAATATTAATGAAGAACATAAGTTTCCTCTTGCTCTATTGTCATGGAATCTTTTATCATTTCTCGTTGTACTTTTGTAACAGAATGCAGTTTTCATTTTTTATATCTTTTTGTTCAGGTGTGATGCTGAGCTTCTACATAAAACACTATGCACCCGCTCAATTCAAACTCATGAGGGAAATATTGTTAAAGCACTTGACTGTTCTGCTGCTGCAGCTGGCCGTGACGTTCTAGCAAAGACTTTATACGCCCAGATATTTGACTGGCATGTCTGAGCTTCATTGTTTTTGCCATTTTAATAATGTTGTGATGGGATGCTCACAATGTTATTTTGAATTGATATTTTGTAGGCTTGTTGATAATATTAACAAATCAGTTGGGCAAGATCTGAATTCAAAAATGCAGATTGGAGTCCTTGACATATATGGTTTTGAATGCTTTAAAAACAACAGGTTGCTTATGATTTTTTTTGTCTAACTGTTGTTTTTTTTCACACTCGTTTGTGTACTTTTGCATTTGTTTGTTTTTTGTTTGCATGCATGGTTGAATCAGCAAAGGAAACCATCATGTTTTTGGCAGTTGGTTTGGGAAATGACTGTTGTACATTGTTTGGATAAAATTTGAAAGTAAAAAACTACCATTGCATTTTGTTCCTTTATTATTATAATGCCATGTTTGAAACTTTGAATTCAGTTTACTGGGTCTTTTATATTCTTTTTTCTTAGAATTGGTGACTTTTTTTGCTTAGAATTGGTGACTTATAATACGATTAAACATTGCCACAATGTCACTTTTATATGTTAAGATGATTGTGTCAAAGATCCATCGTTTACATGATCATATTATTTTTCATTTAAATTTAAAGTTGTACCTTGGTATGAATCTCTTACAAAGAGTGCAACAGATTATAAATGACAGAAGGAAATTTTACTATGTAAAAACTCCGACATTTCTTTCTTCAGAAATACCCACCCTAGTAGAAACCAAAGGTGTTTTCACTGGTTTTCTTTCATTCTCAGATGTTGGCATGGTTTCTATGTCTTTCAAATCTTCTTTTTTGGATTATGAAAACACAGGTTCTTGGGATGTCGATGTCTCGGCAGAATCACTTTGCACTGGACTTAGGTTTTTATTAGAACCATCAGCTTGGCTTTGTAAGTTTATTTCTTTGCCCATTTTATTCACATATTTCTCCTTTTCGATCAGTTTATCCTCAAAAGCAGCTTGTGGTTCACTTATTGAACTCTCACTCTTCTTCTCCTCAATCATTCGCATCTTCGACTTTCTCACCCTAGGATAACCACCGCCCCAATAGCTTCCTCCTCCTTCAGTGTAGTGGTTGTCGTGATGCTTCCATATTTTCCTCGTGTATCGAGGGTGAGAATTCTACATTTCTTCCATTCGCCTCCCATGATTTGATCCCCATGGCTCGGCTTGTCCACCTCCTTCTCCAATTGTCCACTCCCCTTGTCCAAACGACCTCCCATAGTGGTCGGTCACTGTGCCACCTCCTCCATAAAACTTCCTTCTTGCTATCCCCCATCCGAAAATCCTATTCCGCCCCTTATCGAAGCCCTAGGAGGTGGCTCTTGATGAAAGAAGCTCTTTTCATAAAAGTCTTCTCGTCTGATCTCTTGATGAAAGAAGCTCTTTCTTTTTATATTTGGCCAAGGGAATCTTGGTCAAATCATGATGGGAGTTAGCAATCGGAACTGCCGGTGGAGTTTTGGATTGGATTTCAATGAGCAGAGCTTCTTTAGTATCTCCTCCGACCCTCTAAATCGGCCCTCCATTTGATTTTCCATGGTTGAAAACCATCCTTCGATGGTTGATAATATCTCCTCTATCCCGGATTTGATTTGCTCCATTTTTCCTTTCAACACATCCATCTTCTTTGCTGCCATCTCTCTAAAAATATTGCTTTGATACCAATTTGGTTGAAAGTGAATACAAAAACAATAAGTGAAAGAGAAAAAAAAATGTAGGAACATAGAGATAATGGCTGTTTTTTATGTTTTTTTCTTAAAAAATAATGCAAGATACAATTGATCTACTATTCGAGAGGTAGACCGGCTCTCCCACAAATCCTAGATGACACTAGGAAATTCACAACAAACCCTAGAATAAACTTAAGCTCAAACCCTAGACTAACTTCTTGTTAAATTTTCATAACACATAAGAAACATAATTGGAAGCTTCCTAATTAAAAACTCTCTAATTAAATCCTTCATAACATATAATAAACAGAATTGAAAACTTCCTAATTAAATCCTTCATAACATATAATAAACATAATTGAAATCTCCCTAATTAAATCCTTCCTAACATATAATAAACATAATTGGAAACCTTCCTAAACAGTTTCCCCTTATTTATAAACCTTCCTAAACTGTTTCTCTTTTATTCCTCCTCTTTACATAATAAATTATAGCTCCCTTGGACCCCACAAGGTGAGGTGGCCCCCCCCCCTGGCATATCAGAATGAAAATCTCACATTTCTTTTGCAATTTATTTGTCATGCACCCACACACTCAATGTGCACTATATTGTACATGTATGTTAATCCAGTGAGCACGGAGGTGGAAGTAAGAAAGATAATTCAACGGAGAATGAATCGTTTGCATTTTCTACTATATGCAAGCACTGCTCTGGCCAATCCCATGCACCATATTAAACTTTGAAAATCTTCTTGTTATCCTCTATATTTATGCGTGCCATTTTGTCAGCGGGTTACATCTTTAAAAACTGTGTTATTCCTGAAATCGAAGGTGGGTGCACATTATTCTGACTCTTGCTGTCTAGAAACCTAATTTTGTGGTTGTGGATTACTCTCTTCTCTTCTCGTGTTAGTGGCTTTTGTTTTACCTTTCACACCAATTTCATGTGCGGTGTATTAACCTGAAGTAGAGTAATTGAAATTGTAGAGTTGCCGCATTACTTTACAGGTAGGTGCAGGTTTACCTTACCTTCCTTGATTACCCAAATGTTACTCCGTGGCACTAAATGCCATGTTGGCTGGCTTTAGAAAGATTGTCATTGCTAGTGAGCTTACATAATGAAGGCATGGATAAGTAGGCTGGGCTACTAGATTCCATTGCTTAGATAAGTTTAGAATAGGGTCGTGCTATCCGGTGTTGCCGAACACAAAAAGCCACAAATCTTTATTTCCTGCTTATTGTTAGGTCTGAACATTGGCTTCAAGTAGTCACGGTTTAGTTCTTTTGAGTTTTTACTGCAACTTGCACATCACATGGTTTTAAGTCAAATAAAGGCTATGTCTAGGATTGATATTTCACTCTTCCATTCTCAATTCCATGCTTTTTTATCTTTGAACCTTCTTAGTGGTTTTTTAGAAGTTATAAGCTATAGTTTTTTGGCTAATATCTGCTTGTAATTATCTTTAGTTAATTTCTTTTTGTAGCTTTGAGCAGTTCTGCATTAACTTTGCTAACGAAAAGCTTCAACAGCATTTCAATGAGGTATATTGACATTGTCTGACACATGAGCATTTAAGGTTTTATTTTTTCCGTTTGCAAGCGCTGACCTAGTTTGTTTTTTTCAGCATGTCTTTAAGATGGAGCAGGAGGAATACAAAAATGAGGAAATCAATTGGAGCTATATTGAATTCATCGATAATCATGATGTTGTGAATTTAATTGAGAAGGTTTTAATCGCTAAAGCTAATTTAATATCTTTTATTTTAAGGTTTGAAAGCTTTTGAAATATCCGTTTGCAATCAATTCCCATCATTTATCTTGAATGGAGCTTTGACAAACTTATTTTTGTAGTTGATATTTATTCCGTTTTCTTCCTCTTGCTTTTGTTTTGGGTTTCAGTTTTATCATTTTAGCTGAGTAAAACTATCTTTTGCATGCAACAAGCCTGGTTATGATGTTTTTAAAATCTATTAAATGCAAATGAGCAGGTTTGTGTAATAATGTTTTCGTGTTTTTGGGAAGATTTAAAAAAAGAAAAGAAAATGCATTAGGATCATCTATACATCCACACTCATTTGTTTGGATACATGTTCTATTTAATAACTTAATGTTTTAATTTGTGCAATAGGATATTGAGTCATTTTATATTCATGAGGTGAGGCCTTGAGGCGTTTTGAGTTATTTTTCTTAGAATTAAATAATTAAATTAATAAAAAATATGAAATAATAGGTAATATACCAACATCAAAGTAAGATTCTAGTAAGTCAAAGTAAGATCATAAAAATATGCATCTCCCAATCCCAATTCAAAACAAATAGTCTAAGCCACTTGGATTATAATTTATGAATTCAAAAATCACCCTCAGTCTTATCATTAAAATCATTTTGCTTTCTCTTCAACCTATCCTCTGTTGCGCTATAAGGGCCAGTGGTGTTGGTTGCGAGTGTGATATGGGGCTAGGAGTTGAGAAGGTCTTGTTTGTTTTAGATTCAGGTATAGAAGAGCAACAAAATATGATTTATTTTATATCTAAATTTATAAATTAAAATTTTAGGTCACCTAAACAGCTGTTTTTGAGGCTGGAGTTTTTTTTTTCCAAATTTTTTTTTCTTCAAAATTTCTTTGTGCTGGATTTGAGGCGCACCTCTTATCACGGAAATTTCAACAATGCCACTTCGGAATTTATTATCGAACTATCCTTTTTTTATACTTCAATTATTTTGCTTAAAGTCATTTAGATTGACTAAAATTTGTGTTTTTCCTTCTATGCACATCTAGCAGTTCGTGTTTGGCAACCATGGAGCAAATAGCCGCAAGCTGATAGAAAATTTTGAGGATTGTAGTGCACGTGTGATCAGTATGGCATGTGAGCTATAGTTAAAGTTTAAGTGAAGAGAGAAGTGGTGCACACGCTTTGAATATGCGTGCAAAGCTGATACGATATTGAACACTATATCTTTGTGCTATCATTTGTCCTTGCCAATACCTTTGAAGTACTATTGGCTATGCTTTTTGTATTTGAATTGCTCAGCATGTCTGATAAGATTAGTCATTTGCCAATAAAGCGAATTAGTGTTCCACCTCAGGTGATCATGCCATTGGTATATTGGAGTAAAATCCTCACTTGGCATCTAGAGTTAACTTGGTTTAGAAACTGTTTCGTCTATTATGGCCATGCCATCATATGTTAGGACGCGCTACCTCATTAAATTTCTATTTTAAGCTGGTAGATGGACAATCCACGTGGTTCGTACTTAGTCTTGATATGATTAGACCTAGCATTTTGTTGCAGCAATGTGCCTTTTTTTCATAGAAATATAGTTATATCAAAATTCTTGTTTCTTTCTAAGTTAATATGTTGAAAGTTAATGATTATTTTTATGAAGGGAGACTTGCATAAATGCCATCGAATTCTAACATGTTTTCAAAACTATCCCCATCTCAAAAAATTTACTATGATAAATATTTGAGAACTTGATGAAAGCAAAAAATGGATGGCTTTCTTGCAATTTTTGATAGTTTGGTAGAGGTTTGATGAATTCATATAGGAAGATGTTAATTTTTTAAGTTGTCTCTATCTGAGCGTATGTATGAAGTTTTCCTTTTTATGAATTTCTTTTTAGGCTTCATATTTAATTTCAGGAATATGTTTATCTTGCATAATCTCTCTTTTGGGTTTTTTAAGAGATAAGTTGTATGGCTTTGCACTTCTCATACTTGTTTATTTATTTTCCCACAGAAGCCATTCGGCATAATCTCCCTTTTGGACGAAGCATGGTAAACATACTATTCTCTATCATGAAGTTCAAGGTTTAAAAATGAAGGCGTTATTTGAATCAATAATTTACTTACATTTCTGTTTCTCAGTATGTTTCCTAAATCAACCCATGAAACGTTTTCAACAAAGCTTTTTCAAAACTTCCGTAATCATTCAAGATTGGAAAAACCAAAATTTTCAGAAACAGATTTTACGGTTTCCCATTATGCTGGAAAGGTATGTCAAATCATTCAATTGTATCCTTGCCACCAAGATATCCGTATGTTACGATAGTATTTTGCATGACATTAACTTTGTTTATTGACTTCACAGGTTACATACCAAACAGAAACATTTTTAGAAAAAAATCGTGATTATGTTATTGTAGAACATCGTAGTTTGATTTCTTCCTCCAAATGTCGTTTTATTTCTGGGCTTTTTGATTCATTTCCTGAGGAGACTTCAAGATCATCATATAAATTTTCTTCTGTCGCTTCAAGATTTAAGGTGTGTTCCTTTAAAGTTTATTATTGTGGTTAATTTATTTGATGTTTGCATTCTTTGATGGATTTGTTTAAGAGATTTTTAGCTTGAGTGCATACCATAAATGCAGTTCTGATGTCTGGATTTTCTCCAACCCATATTAGTTGAAATGGTGAATAACCATGTAACTAGTGATTTGATGCTTTATATTCTCTGTTTTCTTATGGAAATACCCCAAGAAAGTGCACCGAGTTTTTCTGTAAAATATGGAGCATAGTCGTTTTTGAATTAGTAGAAACACTTTTCAAATTTATGTTATTTTTATCAATTGTATGTTGGTGATGAAAATTTATTAAAAGCTCTAAACTTTAATTTGAAGTTCATCTATAAAAAATAGATGATAAATATTATGATGTTGGCATCTGCACCAAAGGGACAGGAAATAAAGGTTTAGTTACGGGTTCAAATGCTACCATAGTATTATGAATTGAGGATCCATTATAGAGACATATGCTTGGTGCACTTTTCCCAAAGCTCTTCACAGCTCAATTACATGTAGCGCCTATGCTTCTTCCAATTGTTATATGAAAAATGAATTAGATTTTTTATTACATTGTTTATTTTAATGCATAAGCTTGTTTGTGGTTGAATCCATTTTAAATCTTAAATTTATAGTAAATCAAGTTAGCGTTAACGATGGTGTTGGTTTTGGGCTTTAGATCATTGCTGTGATCAAATTCATGGATGGGGGCTCTCCTATGATGCTCTGGATAGTAAGGATATTTTTGGTGGAATTTCATTTTGAGTGGAATTAGGGTTGGGAATGTGTTATTGGTCGGCCAATCCAATTCTTGCAACTTGCTAGGATCTGGAGCCCTAGGTTTTAGTGTTTTACCTAGAATAACTTCTTCTTGAAAAGTCCAAATGGTATGAAATAAAAACCAAATTGAAGGGGAAGATGTCTAGTTAGGATATGAAGAATTTGATGAATTTTGATGGAGTTCTGATATTTTTCCTTGATTTTTTTGAAGATTGGTTTGAGAATTTTTCTTTCAAGTTATAGGTTGAATTGGACTTAGGGCTTCTAGAACTTTTCATATTTGTGAACAAGAATGCTAAAAAATGTGTGGAAATTGAAGTTTGGAGTGTCTACTATGGATCTTGAGTTTTTGGTGATTTTTGGAATAGTTTAGGTCAGCCAATTGAAGGCAAACCTACAACCAAGTCTATTATGTCCTAGTTTGCAGATTCTCACGAAAGCTCTAAATGGATGGGCTAAATTACTAGGAAAATTAGGGTTTGAATTCTTTTGGAGTGTGGGATGATGGATAAAACATATTACAAAAGAAAAATGCTAAAATTAAAACATAGATAAAACTCTATTACTCACCAAGGTGGTAATCCTAGGGAGGATCACCAAATGCTTTCTAGATTGGTCGGTCACCAAACTCCAACCAAAGGAATTTTTCTTCAATTTCAGAAGCAAAACTTTAATAGCTTCTTCATTCCATTGAGATTAAAGTGTTTTATACAACATACTTAAGAGGTCAATTTTAAAATTTTAAAAAGTGAGGGAAGAAGGGGGGGGGGGGGGGGAAACCTTTTTTAACCATTTTATACCCGCCGCAACTCCGTCCTTTGTACACTTGGTTGGCCGTTCTCCCCATGCATCGGTTGGCCACTCCACTCCACTTGGCCATTTTATCAGGTGAATTAAAATGGCTAACACAACATATAAGTGCAAAAACACTTACACAGACATTTCAACATATGAGACAGTACATTCACATAAAGTCATAAAGACTAATAAAACATATTCTAATTCTTATGTCCTTGTTCTAGTGTAGCCCTCCTAGCCTTGGATCTTGTAATTGGACCTCCATTCTCTTGATTAACCCATGTTCTACATCAGTTAATTGTAGTGATGTTCGGCATGCCAATGCCATGTTGATCTGAGTTCTTTGAAGAAGTTTATTAAGTATGATCTAGCTAGATGGCGCAAGAGGTTATGAATGAATTACTCTGATGAATCATAGCGTGAGAAGAATCAAGTGTGGTGGTACCATCCTTGAGAAAACATGATCTGTACTATCTTGTCCTCCTCTAATTTCTCAATAGGGGAGTTGCTTTGCTTGGTTAGGGAGCATGAAGGGGTGGTCTATCTCGGAAAAGATCAAGAAGGATCTCATTATCCATATCCTTATAGTAGGTGGGGAAGTAATTCCATGTAAAATAGCAGAAATTCTTGAAGATTGAAGTGGATTTGGAATGTTGTCTCTATATTAAATTCATCTTGCTGGAGGAATAAATTTGATTCTTCCATCCATCGGAGGCGTATGTTTAGATTTTCTGATAGTTCTAGATTTCCTCAGATTGGAAAGGATTTTTGTGATGTAGTATATGAAAAGTTGGCAGTCAATTATATCTCCTTTGAAAATAAAAGTTTACTTAACAATTTTGGTATGCTAGCTAGATTTTGATTACCTAGTATATTTTTTTCCATGCGAAATTTGGATCTAGTAAAATCCAGTAAATATGTTCCGGACAGGGACATTATGCTATTGACAGGTGAACCTTAGCTACAAAATTTGCATCACGAAGCATGATTTTTCTCTTTGTCGCTATATCATCTTTTGGACGTCCCAAACAGATTTCTATTGTATTTCATGTAAGTTGGTATGTGTGTGTGTATATATATATTAAGAAAGCCCTCTGATATCTGGTCATTAATTTGCTTTGTTCCAGGCTCGTGCATGTTAAATTGCCATACCGCTTTCTCTTATAAGCAATGATTCATATTTTTTTTAACCATGACTTTATTGTTTGTAACTTTCGTTGATATCATCCCAATCCTGGCTTGGGTAGGGATGGGAATAGGCTTGGCTTGGATTGAAATCAAGTTGAGAATGCAGGGTATTTAATATATTTAACATTATTTTATATCATTTATTTCTATTAATTTTTGTTGCTTTTACCTTTCTTCATTTGTTCTCTTAACATTTTAATGTATTTTTTTTCTATTTGTTTTTTTTTGTATAGCCAAGGTAACTAATTTTCTTCTCTTTTTACTCTTGAAAGCAACAACTGCAAGCCCTCATGGAAACGCTTAACTCTACTGAACCTCATTATGTTCGCTGTGTGAAGCCAAACTCATTGAATTGTCCTCAAAAGTTTGAGAATCTGAGTGTCTTACATCAGTTGCGTTGCGGAGTAAGCATGCATCTTTTGACCAGAAAAAAATTTCTGTCCAAGATTTTTGTTTTTTTGTCCTTCACCGTTTCTACTTTACATATAAGCAAATTCTATTTTAGCATATCAGCATCTTTTTCGTGTAATAAATCTTTTTGACATTTTTATCTTTAATTTGATATGTATATTTTGCTAACACTGGCGTTTCTTCTTATGGAGGACAGGAAGAATGTCATTTTTTTTTGTTTTGCTTTCTGCCTGTTGTACGGCTCTCATATTTCAGTTAGAGTTGCTGTCTTTCTGTACGAGTTACTTGACTTATTATATGTTTTACCATATAATTTCAACTTCTCAAACTTTTGTTCTGTTAATTTGCAGTTGATTATATGTTCAAATCTATGTAAAATTTTTCTCAAATTGTTACTTCGTTAAGGTGAATCTTTCTTTAAATTGGTTCTTGAATGTTCTTACAGGAAAAATGTACATAAATATATTTCTATGAGAATAGTATTTTGATTGTGTTGGTTTTAATTGGAACTTGAAATTGTTGAGTTATTCTCAGCTCAATCTCAAATCGATCTTGAATTGTATTTTGAGTGAAGCTGATTCCATTCAAAGTAATGTGAGTGTAGCTGACTCCACTCAAAGTGGATTTATTCAGAGTGCGAAATAGTTCTAATTGGCTTGAAATTATTAGCATGAACTAGCATGCCATTTTCCACACAAACTGAAATCTGAAAATGATGAATAAAGCATATTTATTATTCAATCATGATTGTCATTGATTTTTCATATGATATAATATTATAGAAATTTAAAAGAAAAAAAAAAAACATAAACTTTTATTGCGTTAAAATTATAATTTTATGTAATATATACTTATAAGTTATATAATAATATATTATTTGATTTTATTTGTATTTAATTTTGAGTTAACAGTCATAGGCTTATAATATTTGTCGAGTCAATAATCTTTCTTGTGAGGTTACTTGAAATGACCCACCCAAGTTGATTTTGAATTAGCTTAAAATTTTGAGTGAGTTTCAAATAAGCTTCTAGTTTCTTCTAATACTGCTACCCCTACAAGAGGCGAGATTTGGTACTTATTCCGCTACTTGTAAGTTGTAACTGGTGAAGGGATTTCCTCCATTTGACAGTGATATAATTATTCTAGATATATGTTTTTTCTAGGCCTCTGTAGAATTCCTATTGCTTATCATCTAGTTAAAAAAATATCGTGCCTACATTTAGGGGAGGTTTAGCTGGTTGGACAACAAATTACCTGAGCAATGGTTGTTTGCATATATGTGTATATATGAGCACATATGCATACATGTGAGATTGTGTTTCTTGATAATAGGTTAAGTGTTCGATTTTCTTGAAGTTGAACCTGCCTTGCAAGCGTTTATTTGGCATCAGTATGGTTTTTACAACATGTGGGAATTTGATATTGCCAAACGAAGTTGCTAGAATGAATGACTGACTTATTAGTTTGTTGTCCTCTTTGTATTTCTCAGATTCATTTGTAATGCGTCTACGAACTTGCATGTTTTTAATAAAGACATCATTGAAGGCTCTCAATTGAGAATATAGTGTGAGGACACAACCAAGATCCCATCAATCCATTTAACATGTGTCTGTGAACTTGGATATTTTTAAAGAAGGCATAATTGGTGGCTCACAATGGAGGATATTGTGGGTTTGCTTAGTTTCTCTCAACTATTGCTCTCAAGTGCTGTTTCACACCTCGTTGTCATTGTTGGCTTGAGCTCACTAGGTCTTGCATTCCCTTCTCATTACACATTTTGGTGTCAGTTGCATCACTTGCATGTGGCCTCTCTTTGATGATGCCTCATGGCTTGGACGTCTCATTCGCTTATGGTTCCTCTGGCAAATAGGGCTCCCCTGCCCTTTCTTTTCCGTCATTCTTCTGGTTTTATGTCAATTGTAGTTTTTTGCTCTTTATTTTACATTCTTTGTCGTGTTTGGTTTCTTCAGTTGGTTCTGGGTGGAGGATTTTCCTCTATCCTAGTTTCTTTGGCCGCTCCTTGCACACAAGCGTTTCATTGAAACCCAACTCTCTCACTTGTGAGGTTGCCGCCTTCTATCTAGGCGGTCTTTGACTTTCTTGAGCCTCCCTTTGTGTCATTTATGATGATTTCTTTGCATCCTACTACACAGCTTCCATGATCATTTGCTAATATTATTAGTGGTTTTAATGTTGTTGGCTTTCACGCCATCCAACATTTTCACTTTTTTTTTTTTTATCAAAATTTAGCAACAATGCTACAAAATAACCCTCATCTTATCTAGGAAAACCTGCTGTCTTCATCTCCTACGAAGAGATATTTGCACTTGCTGGACCACTCTTCTCTATTATTGGAAAAATTTTTATGGGTCGTCCGAACTTCATATCTGATTTATATATTAATGGATGACTACTCCATTGGGCTTACAATACTTGTCATTATCATCTTAAGTCTTTTTTAGAAACAGGCTGCATCAGATAGTGTCACACCCCACGTCGCCCCTTCCAAAGAATGCAGGGTGCAATAGAAAAAATCATATCATTCATAACACAACTTTTCAACCATCTTCATGCCACTTAAAATGAAAATATTCAATTTTCTTCATACACTTCATTTGTATATAATTACAAAACAAATAACCACCTAAAAGCATTTTCGTAATAGTAGTTCACGTACCTTTGCTCAGGATTTATCTCATACTACCATAAAACCAAACATAGTTTTTAAAATTTACCCAAGTCTAGTTAGCTTCCTCCTTATCTCTCCCCTTCCTTGTAATAATAGCCAGCAATAAAATCTGGTAAGCTATGAAACTCCTCAGAAAGATATACAATTCTAGTACCATATTCAAGTATATGAAACACAATACTTGTGTATCAAAAAGTGGTAGTAAGAACTACATGTAATCATTCAAAAGAAAATACGCATAGTTTGAAATTATTTAACAGGAAAAATAATGTTGCATGTAAGAATTATACTCATCTAAAACAAATTTCGACTATGTTTCATAATGCCAATATCATCACCACTTGTCACATATTGCCAACATCATCAATCATGCCAAATAAATTCAATGAGTAATACATTGCAATATATAATCATCCTTATATCTTTTAGATCATCAAATAACATTTTTTTTCCAACCTTAAAAATTGTCATGAACACATTGTTAGATCTTGGTGTACAGTCTGTAGGCACCTGAGGTCGCATTGCCTCTATATTCCTTAGGCTTCATATCATAGCCCGTAGGCTCTTGAGATCGCACCGCCTCTAGCACCCGTAGGCTTCAAATTATAGCCCGTAGGCTCCTGAGGTCGTATTGCCTGTATCGCCCGTAGGCTCTTGAGATTGCACAACATCTATTGCTTGTAGGCTTCATATCAGAGTTCTTAGGCTTCATATCATATAGAGGTCACACTTTCTATATTGTGTCACATTTATTGGGTCACACTGCCCCCACTCACCTATCAATCTGCCACTTGACATGAAAAATTCTCAGACTGATCAGATCATTACTTTTTCCCTTCCAAGTTGTGTGATATTTGCATAGATGTAGAAACATGCATTAAGGTGTATCAACATATAAGTATGTATGACTGTAAAAATCTTATAATACAAATCCTCACATGATAGAATTGTTGATAGTAGCATCACGTAACAAAATCACTTATTACAGAAAGTTTTATGTAATATGGTGTATTGACTCATAATTTCAGATTAATCCCAACAGGCAAGAGTATAAAACATAATCGCCTATAATTAATTCAAATGCATGTATACCGATAATACTCAATCAACTTGTATATTGTACTAAAAATACATATCTTACCGTACCGTTATCGGGCTTACAAAGTTGGATACATTGTTTCTAGGGGTGTCAAGACTTGATCTGACCCGAAACCGACCCCGACCAAATTTGGAAAATTTCGGGTTCAGTGAACTAGGGATGCAAACATTACTGAGCCGAGCCGAGCTTTGGCCTGTTCGAGTTTGGGCTTGTCTGTCTGAATCGAGCTCAAGCTCGGCTTGAAGCTCGTCGAGCTTCTTGGACCGTTGTTCGAGTTTGAGCTCATTTAAAACTTCCATGTTCGAGCTCGGTCGGTTCGTGTTCTAGTTTGGTTAGTTTCGAGCTTATCGAGTGATGCGGACATCCAACCGTCCATGCCAATCCGAGGAGCTGAAGATCGACGTCCGAGATCACTTTACTTTATTTTCATTTATTAAGTGTATTTTAATTTAGTTTTGCAATTTCCCATTTTACCCTCTTGTTTTATGTAAGCCCAAGGGGCGAATGTGTCTTTTAATTTCTTTTGAGGCCTATATATAGAGGCCCCTTCTCTTGTATTTCGAGGATGGATTATTGATAATGGAAAATTTTATTTTCGTGTTGATCTCTTAGTGAGTTCAGAAGGATCTCTTTGTGAGTTCCGACTTTCCCAAGATCTCTTTGTGAGTTCTTGAGGAGAGTTTCGCGGATCTCTTTGTGAGTTCCGAGATTCTCAAGATCTCTTTGTGAGTTCTTGAGGAGAGTTTCGCGGATCTCTTTGTGAGTTCTGAGATTCTCAAGATCTCTTTGTGAGTTCTTGAGGAGAGTTTCGTGGATATCTGTGTGAGTTCCGACATCCCTACAATCTCCTTTGAGATCTTGAAGTTTAAGAGCGTGAGGTTAGAAATTCCAAGATTTCCCAAATTTCTCATCCTCTACCAAGCTCGGGCTTTTCCTCCCCAAGTTCTCCTTGCCACCGGCCCTGTTGGCCCGTCCAGAAATTCACCCGCCGGCCATCCCTTAGGCCGACGCCCACCAACCCCCACCTCCCCCTCTCTTCCTCCTTGGAATAAAGAGATTTCTTAATTAGGAGAGGCTCACAATTAATGACAATTCAAATTCAAAATTTGAATTTGAATTAGCATTAATTACTTCTTAAATTCGTCCCTCCAATTAAGCCAATAACCATTAATTTAAATCTGAAATTTAATTTCATATTTAAATCAATCAATCATTTAATCCTCACAATTAATGACAATTCAAATTAAAAATTTGAATTTGAATTAGCTTTAATTACTCCTTAATTTCAGATTTCCATTCTCTCTCCCCAAATTGATTTGGGCTTTAATTAATCTTGCCACCTAGGCAAGTATATGGCATTTACGTTTCACATCATCGAGCCTCTTCTCGAGCGGCTCATGAACGAGCCAGCTGAGCTGATCGCAATTAACAAAAGAAATTTAATTATTTCAAGTATGGTAGCTGGCTGCAATCACACGAAGGACGAGAGGATGACTGCCCGTCTGTCGCCCATTACATAACGACTGAGCTATAGTTATATTTGTTTTTATTTAGAGAAATTTTTGTACTCCATGCGGTGTGGGACTAAAGCCTCCCCTACCGTTTTTTTTTGTTTTCCTGTAAGCCACGGAGAAGAGAGAGAGGCTGTGGGCGGGAATTTATTAAACTAGCGAAATAGAGAGAGAGAGAGAGAGAGAGAGAGAGAGAGAGAGAGAGAGAGAGAGAGAGAGAGAGAGGTGAGTTGGTCGGAGTAGTAATAACGGTATAATAGTTATATCTTAATATCTTATTAATTAAATAATGGTATAATAGTTAAATAATATTAAATATATTATTAGTTAAATAATAATATAAACTAGCTTAGTTATAAAGGTTAAATATCTGTTTTGTTAATAGTTAAATATATTTTTTAATTAAATAAGACATAATTGAGCTTTTTAATCGAGTTTCTTAACGAGCATGTTCACGAGCTTTAAACGATCTTGTTCGTGAACATAAACGAGCCGAACGTCAGGGTGGTCAAGCTTGTTTATTTACCTATCGAGTATTGTCAAAGTTGTTCAAGCTTGTTCATTTACCTTATCAAACGAACATAAACGAGCCCTTATCAAGCCAAGCCACGAGTAGCTCGTCTAACGCTCGGTTCATTTGCAGCCCTAGGGTCAACCCATTTGTCATTCGGGTCGAGTTCTTGTTAAATAAACCAACCCGTTTCAATAATCGGGGTACATGTTTGGGTTGACCCAAAAACCTGTTAATGACCCGTCAACCCGCGCTATTGAAATCCTAGAATGCGCGTATTAGCGAATTTAGGCTATTAGGCATTTCGGGTTAGGGTTTTTCCATATTTCCATTATCAATTTCAGAATTTCTCTTTCTCTTATGAGTTCCTTGTTTGTTCTATGACTTCTCTATTTATTTGTCTTCATTTTTTCTTTCTAATTCTCTTCTCGAGCTTGTTGCTTCATGACGCTCGTCTATTTCTCTCTTTGTTTTTGGCCTCCTGCGTAGTTTCCTGTTTTTTTTTGCACTTTGCTGGGAGAATATCATTTGTTGATTTGCATATTTTGGTTTCCTGTTATTTTTTGTTGTGGGTTTCGGTATTATCACTTTGTAACGGACTTTCTGGCATCTTTCCTTGGTAGTTTCTATTGGTTGAATGCTACATTATTATTGTTACTTTGTAATATGTATTCTTTTTTCCATTTAACTGGTTTCTGTCTTGCTGGATAGCCTATTTTTGGGTTTGTTTCTTGTTATTGTTGGTGTGGGTCTCGATTTGTTTCAAATAAAATGGGTTGGCGGGTTAATCCGGGTTGACCTGGATCGGGTTGGATTCGGGTTCCTGACCCATTTTCCTAAAAGGATTGGGTTCATGTTGGATCATATGATGACGGGTTGATTTCGGGTTTGACCTTTGACCCGAACTTGACCTAAAAATCCGTTTTAACACACCTACTTGTTTCTGCTTGTATGTATAGGGCACCTAAGTCAGATGAAATCATTAATTGCTGATTCATACAATCTCCTATCCAACTGATACAATTAATTCAAACTCCAACTAATATACCTTACAATTTCGACGCCGCATATATGATTATAAGTATCTAATTTTCCTCGCAGTACAATGCCTCAATCAATAACTGAACCTTGTTAAATTATAAATGTTAAATATACTAACCATATATATCCTATAGTAAACTTTATTTTTAAATAGTAATCTCATTTTTTTTCTTTAACTTAGAAAAAAAAAAACAAATGTAATTTAATTCCCTAACTTCCAATGCTTCACAATTTGACCTATAGTTCTATATGTCGAATTGCTCCATTCGACGAGTAGAATACAATGACATTAAAATTGCGAAATTTTGGGATATTGTTAAATTGATCCTAATGCGACACACACTTGATCAAATTGGGTTTTGTATACAGTCTCTCATGATGCACATACTATATCAGTGGCTCTCGATGCACATACTAAAATGGTGCCACAATTTTGATTACTCTGTGGAACCTCCTATCACTTATGTTTGGATTTCATTTGTACGATTTCATTTGCATTATTTTAACCTATTCACTATATTCTTTTTGGCTTTTATATTTTGAAAATATTTCCAGGTGTATGTTACATCATCCCATCTTTGGCTACTGTTTTCCTGAAATTGGACATTACCTCCCATTCTGATAAGGGAGTGTGTATTGGGTTCCAATTACTGGGGTATTGGTAGAGTGTTGAATTTAACAATTTCCCATCATAGTGCTCCTACCTTATATTTGGGCATTAATTTTTCAAATTGTTTCACAACTCATCCTAAATCGAGGATTTCTAAATATTAAGCACAAGGCTTTTCTCCTGAAGCTCAGATTCAGCCTCCTACCTAGCTGGTGGATGATATTTCAGTTTTGATCTATTCTCAAAACTTGGTATTAGTTTTGATTCTTATAGTGGCTAATTTTTCTAACCTTGCTAGCCTCTTGGTGTTTGTCTCTTCATCATTAGATATTATTATCACTAAAAATAATCCTCATGCTCTTGAAATACCTCAACCTCATCCTATTTGTGAGCACAATGTTCTTAAAATATTTTGGCCGCTATCTGATTTACAGAGTGTCAATCTTCTTGTGGATATGAGATTTCATGTTCTTTTTACATGAAGGGGCTTGAATTAGAAGAAAATCTTTTGGCACTCATCTATATTGGCAAGGCTTCAATATTGATGATTGGAATGAATAATTTTATAATCTCTAGGGTTCTTCATCCATTGCCCTTTTGTTTTCTTGTCTTTTATTGTTGTATATTTGTTTTTCTTTGACAATTCTTGATAATTGTATTTGTTGTACTCATATCATTATCTTGTTAGTATATTTTGCTTTGAGGAAGAAAAAAAAAAACTACGAGTGCATTTCCAAGCTTCCATCAAGTTATGTGCAGTGTGTTGTTTTTGTCCTGTGTCCACTTGTGCATACTTGTCTAAAGTTTTTTTTGTATTCCTGACTTTGTTTTAGCTTTTTTAGTAAACTTTTGAAGCTCTTGAATAAAGCCTTAGTCTATGTGTTCCTTGTGTTGTATCTATCTCTTCCCCTTCCATCCTTTTTTGATTATTTTGCTCCACTAAAAGCAAACTCTAGTATTAAATTTTCATGAACCCATCATTTCATTCAAAGTTCTTTCTCGTTCTTCCTTTATTTGGGATGATAAAGCATTAGGATCCATAAATTTTTTGTTTTCTTTGTACCTAGTTTTTTTTCATGCAATTTATGAATTTGAAGGATTTTGAGGAGATCGTCTTTGGACCTTGTTTTATCACTTATTCTGTGAATGGTATTTGCTCGTTGGCATGCTAGTTTCATTGTTTTTTGAAAGGTTAAATTTCGGAGTAGTTCCTCAACCATTTTTTGTGACCAATTATATTTGTCCAATTTATTCTCTGGAGTATACAAAAGTGATCTAAAATTATCTCTTATGTAAAAATTTTTTAGCACAAAATTGATCCTTGTTTAGTTCTAAGAGAATGTTTTGCATGATATAGCTGAGAGACTAAATTAAATAAATGTGATATTCTAAGATTGGCCTTATACAAATAGTCTTGGAGTCATTTTGGGATTTAACTCTTTTTCAAATGGAAACTTGGATGTTAACATAAACTATCTTGATTGCTTCCTTTAAACTTGAGGACCTTATTGAATTATTTGAAACATTTTACATTTTGTATTTCTTATGTAGTATTTGCAGGACCTTGAATTTTCATTATTATTGAAGTTGCAAAACATCACTTGAAGACCCTGGGAAAATGCTCTGTAAACTATTATAATATAATATCGAATTTTTTCCATTGAAATCATTGAAGAAAAATGTTAAAATGGTCCCTCGGATGACTTGAAATAGTTCCTTTGTTGGATAATTTTGTATGTGATTTAAGAAATCAAGGGATTCTTTTTTTACAGATTTGAGGATTCAAGGGATTATTTTTAATCAAATATAAGGAGTCAAGAGATTAAATTGGATGCATGGATTTTCGACTTAAAAATCTCACTAATGAATAGTCTAGGGCTATTTTGACTTTTTTCTCAAATCACCATGAGAAACGGATTTTGGTTCTATTTAATACCGTGAATAAGCCATCAGGTGAAGAATTTCATTGAACCTATGTATGTATGTCTAATTCTCAGCTTTCTTCTTTAGAAATTTGTTGTTAGCAAATTGCAGCATCAATTTACGTGATCTTGTCTGAGGCAGTTGTCTATCTTTTACTTCTTATAGGGTGTTTTGGAGGCTATTCGAATAAGCCTTGCTGGCTATCCTAGTCGGAGGACCTATTCTGAATTTTTAGATCGTTTTGGACTGCTAGTTCTGGAACACATGGATGGAAGGTTGTTTACTGAGCCCTCCTCTTTTGATCTACTTGTTTTAAGGTTTATTATTTCGACTTCTTATTTAAATGGTTTTTCCCATGCTTTTTATTGTTTGAGATGGGTTTCCTAATTACATTTTATTCTTGTTTAGTGTATTTTTGAATCATTAGAAGGTTTTAGTTTAAAAGCTGAGGCAAAAGCAAACATACTATATTGATATAGAATCTCATTTAGGCTCTTGATAATAAGGAGTATTGGAATCATTGGCATGCATTGAATTATTTATTTATTTATTTTAATTGTTTGTTTAATTATTAAAGTGTTAGCTTCCAAAGTGTGAGAAGTCGTCTATTTCTGAAATCATGTTTTTCTAGTTCTGGCCAAGATATCATGTTTATATACGGTAATGTCATTAAATTTTTGAACCTTTAATGTGATATGCTTCTCAACCATGACAGTTTCAAAACCATTTAACAGGGGAAGGGAATTGTATGCAATGATTACTCTTGGTTCCTGATTGCTTGTTCTGGCTTCGCAATTTAATGCTTCATAGTATTCTGTGTGTACCATGCAAGGAAGCATATTTCTTCTCTGGTTCCTTAAGCATTTTTTGGATGCTAGTGAAACGTGTTTTGCTTCTACGTATTTTTTGTTGATCTACTGCAATTCAAATTAATGGAATTCTTCATGGATGCTGGCAAAGTCTTTGCATACATTCATATTTACCCTTAAATTTATTGTAGTCGAATTGTATTTGCAGTTTCATTGGGGACTGTTTAACTCCTTTTTTTTTACTTTCTAATTATTTATTATTTTATGTCATTCTGGTTCTTTAAGATTCATTTATAAGTCTTTACTTTTTCTTTCTTTTGACTTGCAGTTACAATGAGAAGATGCTTGCGGAAAAAATTATGCAAAAGTTGAACCTTCAGAACTTTCAAGTATTTACAACGCGTCATCATCATCTTATAGCTTTCTTATTTAATTTTTGCTGTTTTATTCACTTTATAAAAGTTGTATTTATTTAGCCAGTCCTTTCACTGGCTTTTCTCTATTTATGTAAAGTTATCTTTTCATCACCTTTTAAAAATATATAATATGAGACGCGCCTCTGCATTCTCATAATAAGGCTTATGCCTCATTGGGTGTTTGATGCAGGACTAAAATGCTTTAGATGAATGCGATAAGAACTTGCAAGATTTTGATAAGAACAAATACTAATTAAGACTATTAGCCTCTAAAAGATAACAGAAAACATAAGAGGGGTAGCTATGCTTATGCCAAATCACATGCTAAGTTCTTGAATCATCAAAATATTTTAGAATTGCAACAACATATGAATTTAGTAGTTATTCAACAAAAATCCCTAATGTAACATTAAGATAAGCAACATAGAAAGTACACTCAAATCATACGTTTACTAAGTGTGGCAGAGGGCGAGGCATGCTTCCTTGCGAATTGATCACCACCTACAAGATTAGCGGAATAGGAAGATAAGTGAATAGGGGAAGAAGTTCACCATTGTTGTTGTTCGGAAATAATTTGCCACTGGACGTTGGCAAGTTGTTCGTCAATGGCTTCCGAAAGTGTGAAGATGATGCGGTCCACGTACGCTTCAATGGAATTATCGACTTCCTGGTTGAAGTCGAAGGTGGAGTGGAGGATGTTGACGTTCCCTTGCTCGTCGTACGCGAATTCATAATCAAGTTCCGGATCGGCCATTCATTTGTTTCGAAGGGTTGTTGTGTGGACGACGTTCGTTGTTGCTTCCCTTGAAGACTCCACTATAGATAACGAAGTTCCTCTCAAGAGTTGAAGTGGAGAAGAAGGAAGGGATCGCCAGCCAAGGGCGGGGGCGTGAGAGGAGAAGTTTGGTTCAGATTTTGTGGAGGAAACTTAATTCAAATAACTCCTTAACTAATTCCCTTGATTGAAAGGAATTAATGGAGAGGTTTAATTTAATTCCAGTAGGAGAGACTATCTTTTGGAAAGAAGTTAAATAGGAGGGGCATAGGGATTTCGGCCAAGAGAGAGGGAGAGGAGATTTGAATTATTTCCAAGAGGGAAGCTAGACTTAAGGAAATAATTCCCTAGGAAGCCCATGATGGGGCCATCGGCAATAGGGAGGTGATTGGGGGAATTAAGGAGGCATTAAATGCTTTTTTAAATTAATAAATTAAATTTGGAATGAAAGATTTCATCCCAATTTAATTCAAGTTCAAATAGGCTTTGAATCGGAAGGTTTCCTAAAATATTATTTATAATTTAGGTAACTATTTCAAATTCAAATAGATTTGAATTTACTCATTAATAGAGTTACTTAAAATATGGGGCGGCGGGCAAGAGAGAGGGAGAGGGGTTTAATTTAATTCCAATAGGATAGACTATCTTTTGGAAAGAAATTAAATAGGAGGGGCATGTGGGTTTCGGCCAAGAGAGAGGAAGAGGAGATTTGAATTATTTCCAAGAGGGAAGCTAGACTTAAGGAAATAATTCCCTAGGAAGCCCATGATGGGGCCGGTGGCAATTGGGTGGAGATCGGGGGAATTAAGGAGGCATTCAATGCTTTTTTAAATTAATAAATTAAATTTGGAATGATAGATGTCATCCCAATTTAATTCAAATTCAATAGGCTATGAATTGGAAGGTTTCCTAAAATAGGATTTATAATTTAGGTAACTATTTCAAATTCAAATAAATTTGAATTTACTCATTAATAGAGTTACTTAAAATATGAAAGCTAATTTAGGAAAGGCTTAATGGCAAGTGGGGATGGAGGGAAAACAAGAGGGGGATGGAGGGAAACCAAGGGGAGGGGCCGGCGGCATGGAGGCTTGGCCATGGATGGTGGTGGTGGGGGTTGGGCCTAGCTGACGGGTGGGGGAGGACCAGGGTGACCGGCGGCTTAGGGGTTCGGGTAGATCTTAGGCCGGCGGCTAGTAAAAGGAGGGCACAAGGGGAAAAGAAGATAGAGAAGAAAGAACCACTAACCCAGACACTTCCAAGGTTGGTGGGTGATCAGGTTCCCTGTCCAAGGGACTTCACTCCAATCTCTCACAAGAACTCAAACACAGAAAAATTTTTATCATTCATTCATTAACATGAAAATAGAACATAAGGGCTATATATAGCCTCATACAAAAGACTCAAAAATAAAACTGATAGTATCTAGTGTTGAAAGCTGTCTTTGCTATGTCCTCTTCTCTGACCTTGAGCTGATAGTATCCTGATCTCAAGTCTATCTTGGAAAACACAGAGGCACCCTCCAACTGATCAAACAAGTCATCAATTCTTGGAAGAGGGTATTTATTCTTTATAGTCAACTTGTTCAATTCTCTGTAGTCTATGCAAAGCCTTAAACTTCTATCCTTTTTCTTCACAAAGAGCACAGGAGCACCCCAAGGAGAAGTGCTTGGCCTAATGAATCCTTTATTAAGCAACTCTTCCAATTGTTCTTTCAGTTCCTTCAGCTCTTTTATGGCCATCCTATAAGGGGCTTTTGCAACAGGATTTGCTCCACTAACCAGTTCAATGGTAAAATCAATCTCTCTGCTTGGAGGCATTCCAGGTAAATCATCTGCGAACACTTCTGGATACTCTTGCACAACAGGTATCTCTTCTAATCTCCTCTCTTCTTTCTTCTCCTCCTTAACATAAGCTAGAAAACCTTCATTACCCTTCCTCAACAATTTGTATGCCATCAAAGAAGAGATTATCATAGAAGTTATGCCTCTCTTCCCCATGAATTTAAATTCTTTCTCCTCGGGCATACAAATTTTAAATTCTTTCTTACTACAGTCTATGGTCACAAAGTGACTAGACAACCAATCCATACCTAGAATCACATCAAATTCCGTTAAAGGCAATACCATAAGATCTGCTCCCAAATTTCTATCACCAATAACCAATTCCACATGACACCTCTTGTTGGTTTCCAACTGATTCCCATTGGGCATCAAAACTGTTAAGGGTTTGAGCATACATGAGGAAGACAAACCAACAAACTCAACAAACTCCTCTGAAATGAAAGAATGCAATGCTCCCGTATCAAACAACACCTTAACAGGCTTGTTACATACAAAGATTGTTCCTAAATATCATGCATGTAACATAACATAAAGCTCATCTTACTCATAAATCATAAAGGAATCCATTGACATTAAATAAAATTCATACCTGTGATAACATCAGGAGAGTCTTTTGCTTCTTGTTGTGATATCCCATAAACTCTCGGCTGAGCAGGTTGTCGAGCTTGGCCTTGACTTGGAGTTGATGCAGTAGACTCCACCATC